ATGTTTTGCCTTTCATTTCTATTTTAAACTGAATGGGTTGTTTTACAAGGTGAGGGTTCACATATACTTTAATGAACTGGAAAATAGATCATCACAGAATGAACTCGCAGCATGCAATCTGTTTCTAGATCATTTTTACTCCTGTCCCCAGTGCGATCTCTGTAGACAATGTGCCTCTAGTTTTATGATTTGGCTTCACTGCCTCTAATTAAAATAAAATCTTACTATATAGGAGGAATATCAACCATAGATCCACCATAGCCTCAATATCAGATCAATATGCATCACTCTACAGCTCAGCCCCATAATATAACACTGCAGAGGGGACAGAACACATAATAAATGTTACTTACTGGGAGCCGGAACATAAATATTGCGATCAGCAGGCGTCTTTCCTAAAGTAAACCAGAATTTGATAACATTAGGAACCAGAAAATTGTTTTTGAAGCCTTCATAAATAATAAGTCACACAAATATCTCAATTAATTATCACCATTTGAAAAGTATACATCTCTATTCTGTATTTGCTGGTTTTGTTTTTAATGAAGTGGAGACCTTCGGATGGTTTTCACTGATGCTGGTCGGTGAGATTTCCTGTTACAAATGACATCAATGGTCTTCACAAATTGCCCTAAACTTTGGAGATAATCCTGAACAATACTGTACAATATCTGTTCCAGCCGTTTGCCTGTGTTACCGGAGCCACCCTGGACTTCACTGTGAGGGACGCGGTTTATGAGGATAATAGCAAGAAGCTGTTCTTGTTGTGAACTGTTTACTGAATTGATGATTCTCAGCCAGACTTCTAATAGAGACCATACTATACAGCCACATGTTACCATGACTGAGCCACATAGACATTGCTGGGAGGACTCCATGTTAGTGCAGCTTTCATCATCTATTGTGTATTATTCTGCAGTGTATTCATGCTTTCCCCATTCTGGACCTGTCTTGCATTATAGATTCTAACATCGTACCTGTTTAGGCTGGCCATACATTATACAATTTTCTTGTATGATTTTCCTTTAGATTTACCAAAACCATATCATATGAGGTCAAACCTACACGCTTTCAAATTGTATGCAATCAGACAGGCCCTTGCACTACATAGCTGAAGGCAGATCTAAAGGAAATTGAACAAGAAAATTGTACAATGTATGGCGAGATTTAGTGAACTGCGAGTTACAGTCACCGTCTGGCCAATTACCAATTCTGTTACAACTTTAAAATCTAACATATTGAACTAGGGACTGTAATTGGAGAGCTTCCTTTAAGAAATGTTTGATCACAGAACCATATGAAGGCCTTTAAAGGGATACTAAAAGGTTCTTTTTTTCATAAAATAACAAACATGTTATACTTACCTGCTGTGTGTAGTGGTTTTACAGAGATCAACCTAGGATCTTCCTCTTCTTAGGTCCCCTGCCGGCGTACTCCTCCTTTCTGTCAGGGGCCCCCCATAGCAAGCACCTTACTATGGGGGCACCCGAGTAGGTGTGTTCCCAAGCCATTGCTCCGTGTGTCCATTCACACAAGGAGCTGCGGCTTGCCCCCCCCCTATCCCCATTGGCTGACAGGCTATGATTGACAGCAGTAGGAGCCAACGGCTCCCTGCGTGCTGTATAAGCCAATGAGGAGGCAGAGACCCGGGACAGCCAAGGCTGTTGTGCACATCGCTGGATCTCGATGGGTTCAGGTAGTAATGAGGGGGCTGGGGGCATTGCTGCACACAAGTTTTTTCCCTTCATGCATAGAAAACATGAAGATAAAAAAACCTTGAGCCTTTACAACCACTATAAATATCCCTCTGTGCTGACATATCATTTTCTTCGCTGTCCATATACAAGGGCTTCCTGCTGATCAGTGTGTAGGACTCATGTCTGGTTCTCCTATATGATGAATAGAGCTCTGGTGTGTAATGTGCAGTAATCTCACCTGAAACGGAGCGTTTCCTGTATATGACGACTCCAATAACGGCCCCCGATAATCAGCGCTACAGCAACGACCACAACAGCCCCGATAATTATAGGAGTATTGTCCTTAGGGGGATCTGGGGAAACACAGAAGTAACATGATGTGAGCTCTACTGACAGTCTTGTGTATTTAGTCCCAGAATCAGCTGATTGCAGATCATAGAAGCACATTGTTCCTGCATTGTTCCATCACATCATTACAAGTGCACATTATAATTCACTAAATGAGATATAATGGTCTATAATGAAGAAACAGACTCACACATGGATGATGTCAGTGCCAGGAGGATGGATTTGAGCACAGCCAGGTCCACAGAGATTTGGGTTTCTGGATTGTGTAAAATAGACCTGACACTTCATAAACATGTGTGCGGTGTTGGGGGGGGAACATGAAGGATAACAATCACCAGTCCACCATAAATAACACAGTGCAGTCAGCAGGCATTAGTGTGATCATCGTGGAAGGAACACCTCGGGAAGGGTGCAAATTCTTCCAAATCATTTACAAAGAGAAGGTGTGCTAAAGAGGTTCTATATACAGTATAATGTTTGTGTACAGCACAGTGCACTGGTATGGTACAGCAACTAATAGTAGAAGCAGATAACTGGGGCCCATTCTCACTGTAACAGAGCTTTCTGAATGGACCATCAATGCACCTCATTACACAGAAAAAGTCCTTCCCCATTACTATACAGCCCAGCTACAGGAGTTAGTCAACATCTACCCTTGTAGTGGGAGTAGGTCTAGGGGGTAGAATCAAACAATATAATTAACCCTCACCCCCAGTCCACTGTTGTCCTCTTCTCCACCCAAAGCTCCAGCCTGTGTGTGGTCCTTTCACTATTACCTCTCCATGGAGGAGGAAAGAGTGCGACCACGGCCATGAGCAGCTTAGCCACTTCTGGAGTTGTGGTGGTTTGTACCAGAGTGATTGCTGCACCTGCAGGCATCCCCCGATACAGTTTTTTAGAGCTGGCGGTCGGCTCTCTTGTACAAGCAATCGAAGCGGCTATCTAGCAGCTCGATTGCTTGCACAAGCAGCAGGAGTGGAGCCCCCCTCCCGCTGCCGTCCACAGCTCTCCTGGGATCTCCCATCTCACTGGGAGTCCTGAGCAACCAGCCGGTGTGTCTGACATTTACTTGGCTATCATGCTGACCCTCTGGTTTCATTAATTTTTATGTTATTGACCTGGAACAAAATATGCAAATTAGCTAAGTCAGAGTAAAATTTGGACTCTTTAGTTGTATACCTGTTCTAGGTTTGTGAAGCCAAAGAGGGTCAGTATGACAAACAGGCAATTATCAACCAGTCAGCAATGGCAGCCTCTATGGCCTCCTTTAAACCCAGGACCCTGCATTCACTATATCTGGTCTCCCAGGACCCCGCATTCACTATATCTGGTCTCCCCAGACCCTGAATTCACTATCTGGTCTCCCAGGACCCCGAATTCACTATATCTGGTCTCCCAGGACCCCGCATTCACTATATCTGGTCTCTCAGGACCCTGCATTCACTATATCTGGTCTCCCCGGACCCTGCATTCACTATATCTGCTCTCCCCGGACCCTGCATTCACTATATCTGGTCTCCCCAGACCCTGCATTCACTATATCTGGTCTCCCCAGACCCTGCATTCACTATATCTGGTCTCCCCGGACCCTGCATTCACTATATCTGGTCTCCCCGGATCCTGCATTCACTATATCCGGTTTCCCCGGACCCTGCATTCACTATATCCGATCTCCCCAGACCCTGCATTCACTATATCCGATCTCCCCGGACCCTGCATTCACTATATCTGGTCTCCCCCGGACCCTGCATTCACTATATCCGGTCTCCCCGGACCCTGCATTCACTATATCTGGTCTCCCCGGACCCTGTATTCACTATATCCGGTCTCCCAGGACCCTGCATTCACTATATTTGGTTCTCCCGGATCCCGCATTCACTATATCTGGTCTCCCCGGACCCTGTATTCACTATATCTGGTCTCCCACAGTACACAGAACATAGGAATACAATTATTTTAGCAAATATAAGCTGCTTAATACCTTTTCTCACCAGCAGTATGTAGCAGTCTTGTGAATTCTATCAGTGTCTGGCTGAGCACTGGTTACTCTTGTAGGAGGAGTTTCCATTCTCCTCTGACTATTCAACAAGGCTGCATAACCCCTGACCCTCTGTCTGGACAGCTCTGATTGGCCCTGTGCTGATCACATGCACCCCCCCAAAAGAAAAAAACTAAAATGAAAAACACACCTCTCTATCAATACACAGTAAACAGAGCATGTGTAGACTTGCCACTGCTGCTCAAACTATGGCTGATGGATTGGGGACAGCAAAAGAAGGGCAGGATCAGATAAGACAGGATCAAACAGCCTTTTTTACACAAGGCAGAGGATTACCCTCTTAAGTTCCACAGTGAGTATAACAAGCATGCTTTACAACATATACAGACTGATTTTACTGTTGTGGGTTTAGTAACACTTTATCTGTACATTCTCAGTTATGTATGAACTAACCCTTTAAATCCAGAGTTACCGAGGTACAAAAGAAGAACAAATCCCTCCATTGGCAATGTTACAGAACAGAACATGGGAGAAATACTTTTGCTAATGATTAATATATCAAGAACAATATATCTTATATATCTGATAGTGATCATTGGTACAATATGAAATGATGACATGCCAATGACATGGAGATTCTGGAATTTTCCACAGATAACCATACAAAGGCAGATCTTTCATTGTAAATGGATTTCAAATCTCAACAAATCACTGACCAGCCACAGTGCAGGAATACTACCCCAGATACTGCTGTGTAGGTCTGAATGCTATTTATGTATTTCAGTACTTTGTTTTGTTCCTCGGTTGCACTCGTTCTCATTCATTTAGTGACACAAACACAGCCGGCTTATTACAAAGGATGTTTCCATTTTAGCATTACTTGTGATAAACACACAGGGGGAGATTTACTAAAACCGGAGCACTCAGAATCTGGTGTAGCTGTACATGGGAGCCAATCAGCTTCTAACTTCAGCTTGTTCAATGAAGCTTTGACAATAAAACCTGGAAGCTGATTGGTTTCTATACAGAGCTGCACCAGATTTTAGTAAAAAACCCCGTGGTGTATGGACAGATAGCAGAAGTCCTACTTACTCACCCCATATCACACTGAGAGTCTCATCCCCCAGACTGCTGTGGTCCACATGACAGAAGTAAGTGTCTCCCTCCTTGGTTGGGACTTCCACACTGACTCTGATCTGATAGGTGCCATCAGGATGGGGGAGAATTGGAGTCATTTCATCTGAAGGAACATGGTCCTCCCCATTCCTCACCCACTTCACATCCACAGGTCGGGGGTGAAACCCGTACACCAGGCACTGAAGTCTGGTCACATCATCCGACTGACGACGGCCCCACACCTTCACCTCTGGGCGCACTGAGAGACAGAAAAAAAGGTATGTGATCTACTGACAAATGTAATCTATGTTCTCCTATGAGATGAATGTGGACACATACAGTATGATGATCTCCAGCATAGAACTATGAGGCCACAGTCCCCACCATTCACTCTAATAGAAGGTGAGCTGTCAGTGATGTCAGTGGGGTGTAGATCCATCAACACAGAGCAGTCCTGAGGACATCCCTTCAGAAGATGATCCATCATGCATCTCATTGACAGGAAGCGGCCTGTCTGACTCCCAGGATGGCTCACACTGATCAGCACTTTTGTCTTTTAACCACTTTTCCTCCAGAAGATTTACTCCCCCTTCCTGAGCAGGTCATTTTTGTGACACGGAGCTGCTTTACTTTAACGGACAACTGCGCGGTCATGCAACACTGCACCCAAATGAAATTTATGTACTTTTTGCACTATAAACAAAAATAAAAGTGACAATTTTAAAAAAAAAAAATTCTGCTATAAAACATATCTAATACAAAAAAATTAAAAATCAAATTTCTTCATAAAATTTAGACCAAAATGTATCCTACATAGATTTTGTAAAAAAAATCCCAACAAGTGTATATTGATTAGTTTGTGCAAAATTTACAGCATCTACAAGCTATGGTACATAATGGAATTGTTTTTTTCTCTTCTCATACTAGTAATGGTGGTGATCAGCAGCTTAAAGCGGGACTGCGATATTGCGGTGGACATTTTTTACACTAACTGACATTTTGTGGGAACCAGTGACACCAATACAGTGATCAGTGCTAAAAATATGCACTGACACTGTACTAATGACACTGGCTGGGTTGGGGTTAACATCTAGGGTGATCAAAGGGTTAAGTGTGTGCCTAGCTATGTGCTTGGTGTACACTAGGTGGTGCTTTTACTAGGGAAAGTGATGGATCGTGTTCTCAGCTCTGCAGAGAGACATCATGATCAGGGCCGTCTTTAACCTGTTCCTGTCTGGCCAATAGCAGAATGATGCCGAGCGGGACTCTCTTTGATCCGAATGGGCCTCATGACGTCCTTCCGGGATCGCGCTGCATTGTGGTGAGATCTGTCACTGGCTGTGTACCTTCGATCCAGCCAATGACAGATCTGTGTACCGACCCATTGCCAGTACCATGTGACCTGCTGTGACCAATCAACAGGTCACATGATAATTGTAAACAATGGATGGCTTCCATTCACGCCATCTATTATACACAATTGTGTCACTAGCTGTGATTGGTCACATGTACAGACTGGGCCAATCATGGCCCATCTGTGTCATGTGATTAGCTGTGGCCAATCACAACAAAAAAAACCTGAATTAATCGATTTAATTCTGTTAAATACTTGTTTATTAAATAAATTATTTCCTATAAGCAATCATAATGTGTAAAAAAAACTGATCACTTCTCCAAAGTAGTACAATGTTACTATGGTAGCATTATACTACTCTGGTGATTGCGTATTGTGAACAAAAAAAAATCTTTAAAAAAAATGTAATAAAATATAAAAAAAAATTGAAACAATTATTTTTTCTTCGTACTGTCACCAGGCAATGTCCCCGATCACCATCACACAAGTTATATGATGATGCTGTACTGCATTGGTGACAGTATGTAAAAAACCCACATTTGTGAAAAAAAAAGGTTTTAATTTCTTTTATTTTCCAAAAAATTATGACAAAAAAATTACAACTTAAAAAACGCCATGCCTCTTACTAAAAACCTTGGACTGTCTACTTTCAGAAAAAGGGGTCATCTGTACTGTTGACATTATTGGGCCTCAAGAAATTAGATCGGCCCCATCAGTACATCAGGACTGATCGATTTTCAGATATAGAACATAGTTTGTGGACTCTATAACTTTAACTTTCCTACAGACTAAATAATTGTAAAGGAAATTTGTAAATTCTGCATTTTATTTTGTGTGCTTTGCCTATGTATTGTACACGGCACTCATTGTGCACACGGCACTAATAATCTTCTCATTACATGTTTGCATTCTTTCAAGTCCTGATTAGAAATCAGCCTGCCTATGTAACGCCCCTCGTTACCACAAAGTACAACTGTAATATTAATGTGATCCCTACATAATCATGTGTATAAAATACTTCAAATACAAATAAACAGAACAGTTATTTGGAAAGATGCCGAGTGTATCGTTTTGTGTCTGTTCCCCACTGCAGTAGTTATTAATTTGGACCCACCAATCAATAGGAGGTTAGGAGTTCCCTATAACATTTTCAGTATTAATGTCCAGAACAATAATAAACACTGATTTGGGTTATTTTCACCAAAGCAAATATAGCAGAATAAATATTGGCCTAAATTTATAAAGAACATTAATTTGCAAAATTTTATAACAAAACAAAGAAAAATATTTTTTTTTTTTCAAACCTTTCGGTCTTTTTTTGTTTATTGAGCAAAAAAAACCCCCAGTGGTGATTAAGTACTACCAAATGAAAGTTCTAGTTGTGTGAACAAAATGCTAAAAATTTAGTTTGGGTACAGCGTTGCATGACTGCGCAATTGTCATTCAAAGTGCCAGAGAACTGAAAGCTGAAAATTGGCCTGGGCAGGAAGGGGGTGACAGTCCCCGGTATTGAAGTGGTTAAGTCTGGGCTCTGACCCGGCCATGCAAGGACTGTCACCCATTTCTCCCCCAACCACTGTGGGGTCTTTTTTGCTGTGTGTGCTTTGGGTCATTGCCATGTTGGACTTTCTGGCAGAGGGCAGATGATTTTCCTCAGAATTTTGATGGCATTTTTCCTTCTTCCTGACAAGTGCTCCAGTCCCTGCTGCAGAGAACCCCCCATACCAGGATATTCCCCCCTCCATGCTTTACTGCAGGAATGGTGGAATTTAGATGGTGAGCTGGATTGGATTTCTGCCAGACATATCATTTAGTGTTGAGGCCAAGTCATCCCATTTTAGTCCCATCTGACCAGAACACCTTTTTCCATGTGGCCTCAGAATCTTCAAGGTGTGTTTTGGCAAAGCTCAGTCATGACTACATGTGGCCTTTCTTGAGGAGCGGCTTTTTTCTTGCAACCCTCCCATACAAGCCACATTTGTGGAGAATTGGTGATATTGTTCTCACATGCACACAATGACTACTCTTTGCCATCAATTCCTACAACTTCTTCAGAGTTGCTGGAGGCCTCTTGGTAGCCTCTCTGACCAGTATCCTCCTGGCTCTTTCATCCAGTTTGGAGCGACATCCTGATCTAGGGAGGGTCTGTGTTTGCCCAAATACCTTCCACTTCTTAATAATAGACTTCACTGTGCTTCTATGCATTGATAAATCATTTGACATTTTTTTTGTATCCATCTTCTGACTTGTGCCTGTCCACAACTTTATCCCAGAGATCTTTAGACAGTGCCTTGCCACCCATAATTGATAGTTTTCTACAGTTGCACTACCAGGGACTGAAATGCTCCAGGAAAGCTCTTTTTATTCTGAGCTAATCAAAATGACCACAGCTGATCACAGTTGAAAGTCAAATGGCTTTGTGTGCCATTGAGAAGGTGATTAACTACACCTGACTGAGTTTACAAGTCATTTTTAGGAGGAGGGGGATTCTTTTTACAACTCAGTGATTATTATTATTATTATTATTATTATTTATACAGTATTTATAAAGCGCCAATAGTTCGCTCAGCGCTGTACATTACAAAGGGGGACAGAACATGTGACAGAACAATACCAATACAATGCAAAACATAAGGGGATCGAGGGCCCTGCTCTTTCGAGCTTACAATCTAGGATTATGTTTTTGAATTAAAAAAAAATATATATTCTGACATGTTGCTGTTATATCTTTCACCTGGATGTTATACGTTGTATTGAGTGAATACAGCTGGATAAAACAAAAACTGTGTGTCTTCAGGCTGCAAAGCAACTAGATGTAATTATTTTAAGGGGGTGATTATTTTCTATATGTATACTGTATGTACCATAGTTTGTAGACGCTATAACCTTCACACAAACCAATTAATTTACACTTTGAGATTTTTTTTATAATTTATGAAGAAATTTAATTTTATTAGATATGTCCTATAACAGAAAGTAGAAAATATGTTTTTTTTTTTAGGTTTTTAGGTTATAATAAAAAAAAACTGGTAATCAAATACCACCAAAATAAAGCTCTCTTTGTACCCAAATTAAATTTATATAATTTCTTTCACACAGTATTGCATGACTGACCAATTGCCAGTTTTAAAACAGTGCAGTGCTAAATAGCAGAAATGGCCTGGTCAGAGGTCAACTGGTTAAACTTGTAGTTTTACCACCCCCTTAAGCTGCACAGGCAGTCGGGGTTGTAGCCATGCTACAGCAACAATGCAAACATTAACCCTCTGTCACGTTCAACAAGCAGCACCGCAGCTGATGCAACCTATTCAAGTGAATGAGGTGCACCGCAGCTTCCCATCAACCACATGCAATGCACACGGCTGTGGTGTGGTTCAGGCTTTACAGATTTAAAATACACAGTGAGGAGACAACATATCACCTCTCAGCCAACTGTCAAATGATCTCTCTGAAAAGTATTCCACTGCGGATTACTCTTTAGAGGGTGACTCATGTATAAATGAGCTTCAACTATAGTTTTCTTTTGTTTGCTCCCTTTCGTCCTTTCAGATATACCATTAGAAGTGTTTGGTTATATCCTTTTAAGAAGAGCAAAAAAATACTTGTTAATTATATCAGTAATGGAGTACGGTACAGTGTTGCCTTTGATTAATGCAGAAAGTCTGCAGTTTAGGTGATCCCTTCATTGGATAACTTAAGGTATAGTTAAAGGGAAATTTGTGGTTTCTTAGTTTAGGATAGAGTGGAGCTGGACTAGAGCCCCTCTCAGGTTTTCATTGCCGTCTGTGCCCCCGTTAGTGAGATTCATCCTCTTTCTGTCCTGGTGACAATTATCATCAAAAGCGAAAGAAAATCCCATAACAGGAATAGACGGGAAATCTTCCAGTGGGGACATTAATTCACTT